TATTAAGTTTATCTCACTAGTAACATTAATGTTAACAACCCTATTAGACTAATTTAATGACCCTTTTGGTCTTAGGACGAAAAAGGAAAACCTCATTAACTTGGGAGTGGCATTCACAAATTTTGCTAATTTCACCTTTTCAAGGTATTCAAGACTCGGGTACTCACATGAACCAAGCAACCTCCGTAGTAAATGAATTGTTGTTATTTCTTAGGACCCAGATTCAAACATTATAGATAACAGGGGTGTGACCGTTCAATGTTGAAAGATTAAGAGTTATCTTTGAACAAATATTGCCTTGTACTTACCTCAAATTATTAAAAAAACTTTAGTTATTAAATAACCTTGAAATGAAGTTTATACGGGAACAGACCTAGGAAGGACGTATAGGCATGATTTTATATTTTTCTTTGTGTTTTTTATTGAAAATTTATTTTCATCCCCTATAATTTTATAAGTTCAAATTCGACCTCACTAGAATTTTATAATTTTATAAGTTTAAGTTCGCCCCTAACATATATGAGATATGTTATCACATATGCTTTCAAAAGTAGACATCTTAATGCTTTGGCCTCTAAGCACTTTACAATTCTTTTCTTCCCAAGTATAATATATAAACACACTCCATACTGTCGTACCCTAATTTTGTCTGAATAATTCAAATTAATTGAAGGTGATCGAAGACTGATTTGAAGACAGTCGTACATTAATGTCAAATTGATCTAGATGGCATTAATGGCATGATTCTGCTTAATTGAATTTATTCAGATATGAGTGACCATAAAAGTTTGTATGTCTGTGGCACAATTTAAAACTCAAATATTTTGACCGTCTCGTTGACATCCAAATACCAAAATATAAATTAAGACATAGCATTAGCCCACTCTTCCACAAATTGCTCTGCGGAAGTTACATAGTTTATTGGGCAGTTTTTAAAATTGTTTTGTTTCATGGTAGCGGTGGTGGTCTTCTCCGGCCACCACTCTGTCATTTTCAGTTCTTTTTTTATTCTATTTTCAACAATAATTTCCCTTGACTCTTTTTCTAGTAAAGGATATCATGGTTACCGGTGTTTTAGACTTTCGGTGCATGTTTTTTTATTGGTCTTCTTCTCAGTCTTTTGTTTTTCACTGAATACATGGTTGGTTGCTTTCCCGATGCCCGATTCCGTTGTTCGTTTGTACAATACGGTTCGTTGGTTATCGCATATATGTACCAGATGAGATTGTTGTTAAGGGGAGATCACTTTTTCCGTTGGCCATTTTGGTTCTTCTTCAAGTTTCTCTCATCCATGTTTTGATGCTCGAAGTCGTTGGTGTGTTCAGTTTATGTATGTCATTGCTCCACTTGTTAATGGTTTTGTTTATCAGGCTATCACTAAGCGATTATTATTATATTTTATTTTTGATAGTCTTGACTATATTTGTTCAGTCTGTAATTTATAAGATATTTGTTGATACGACTTTCGATAAATAAAATATCCTGGTTATTTAAAAATATCAAAAAATATATATATATATATATATATATATGATTCCAAAAATTAAGTGTCCATGCACAAATCCAAGCCCATTTAACCAACACATTTACATTGTTAACCCTCAAACCCATGACCCAAATTATTAAATCCATACATTACAAATCATGAACAGACCAAACAAAACAATACCCAAATTGACCCATCAACCCATTATCATAATACAATTAACCCAATTACCCGAAACTCGTTTAACATTAAACAAGCACAACAACCCATTTGACCCATAATGATAAGGATTTGTGAAACCTTAGTTCTCAATAACGAGTTTCGTCGTCACCCTTTAGACCCCAAAAACTTCCACCCCAGTTGTGATTCCAGAGAGTTCCCCTCCAACAAATTGTGTTTTTCCAACAAGCACCATAACAACTTGTCGCAACGTTTATTTTTCAAAACGAAAATGATTTTTCACTTTTAAATTTAAGATTTTATATTTTTGAATATTGAATAAATTTTAAAATCGGAGTCGCCATCGACCTTTGATTAGGTAGGTTGAGTACCTAAAACGTTTTAAAAATAATTATAAAAAATATTTTTTCAAAATTGATCTACGTGTGCCATAAATTCATTTTTAAGGGATTAAAAGTCGGTTACGCGCGGGGAATGACTATGTCACAATTTATACATCAAAGATTAAAGATACTAAAATCAAAGATTATGTCACAATTTATTTATTTTTCATTAATTAATTTATTTCGAACCTCAAAGAATATTCTTTATTTTGAGAATAGACCAAGAGATTTGCATGTTCTCCATCGGGAATACTATCCCATCTATCTCTTCCCTATACGAGAATATTCTTACATTTTTTATTTAGGATTTCATATTAAGAGTGAATAAAATAGGAATTAAAAATTAATAACACATAAAAAATGAGCAAATACAAGGTTATTATTGAAAGGTAATTATTGTTCATTTTTATTAAGACATACCCAATATTTTTTCAAGTTCGCTTTCGTTCGAACGTCGTATTTAAGTGTACTGCCTCGATAGGTTTCACTTTTCATGCCCATTCTACGAAATTTGTTCTTGAAAATTATTACGAGTATTAAATAAATCTAATAATAAGCATTATGGATTTTAGGTGTATTCTAATATTTTTTAATAAAATATTTAACAAGTTAGTCATATTAATGTCCTAAAATAAACAAATGAATACTAACATAAACTTTGATACAAGGTAAATAGAATTAAGCAAGCTAGATCAGAACTAAGGCAAAACCACAGGGATATATTAATAATAAACCATTTTTATTTTATGTAATAAACATGTAATTGGTGACCAGGATGATCATTTAATAACCTATAACCTAGCAGGATCTAAGGTGTAGATATTCCGTTTCTTAAAGCATGGCAAATTAAGGACTAAAAAGTAACAAATTAAATGTTAATAGGGTCAATCAAACATTTAATCAAAACATGTGATAGCATACATATGACTAAAATGAAAACGGAATGAAACTCAAAGCTTAAATTAAAACAAGAAAAAAGTTAATTTCAGTGACCGAAATATAAAATTATAAGATGTGAAGGGCTGTGGAAACTATTTGCCCATGCGCCCAAAACGCACGAATTCATCCTTCAAAAAAAAATCTCATCGTTGCCACTAGTCGACTTTTCTCCTTAAGGACCGGTTGTGACACATACTATCTTCGAAATGAGAGTAATGTAAAAATGAGCAAACAAAAAAGAAAAATAATGCCTTAGTTCATTAGTACCATCTCACAATACACGTACTGTCAACACCTATCCTTAGTTGATAGTCTTCCAACAAAATGAATCACACTATGTTTGTTTTTCTATTTCAATTGTTAGTTCTTTAGGGGTTGTTTGGTTCAATGAATGTGGGATTCTCATGGGAATGGAATCCACATTTTCATATTTGGTTGGCTGAGAATCTCATTTCCGGTAATGTTTTATTACCAATAGTAGATTTTTTGGGTATATTACTGGGAATGCCATTTCCTCCCTTTCCTTAGGTATTGTTGGATTACCGGCGTTTTGGACTAAAATACCCTTAAATTTTTTTTAAAGAAAATATATAAATATTTTTCAACTTGTTAAAAAAACAAATATATAATAAGGACAATTTAGTCAAATATATATTATAATAATATTTTATTCCTTTAACCAAACACGGTAATCTTACATTCCTGCTAAACCAACCAAACACAAAATACAACATTCCCAATAATCTTATTCCCTGGTAATTATATATTCCCACTGATAATCTTACATTCCGTGAACCAAACACACCCTTAAGGTTTTTTTGGCCCAAAAGGTCATACGCAAAAATTAATTTGCCCAATAGACCACAATGAAGTTTATTTTATAAAATACGACAAATGCTACAGTGTAAGACAACCCCGTTATGACGAGTTTGCCAAAAAATTATTTTTTAGTGGTCCTAGGTAAATGGATCCCATGTGAGTCCCATTAAAAAATATTTTTTTATACCTTACACTGTAGCATTTGCCGTAGTTCATAAAATAAATTCCACTATAGCCTATTGGGTCAATTAATTTTGACGCTGGGCCCATCGGGAAAAAACAGTGCTTTTAACATTTAGGGTACAAACTAAAACCCATTTTTTATGGGCCTAGGCAGTTTAATGGACAACTTGGCTGAAAGAACACTTTAGAAATCCCTTGATCATTAATACATAAGGTGCTTACGATTGAACATGTAGAACCAAAGACGTGATCTTAGTCACAAAGGACGGTTTGTTTTCTCAAAGTAATTCAGATTCAACCAGTATTACTTGTAAACGTGAGCGGGTTTTATCTATGTTAAAAGCAGGACGTATACTATCATATGATCACATTAGAATATTATAAAAAGTTCCAATATATAGTATTTTTTTAGATTAAGATGAAATAAGTAGTTTGATCATATAATTTCAAATATATAATATTTTTATACTTAGATTATGTACTTGAGTAATTTTATGATAAATCAGGTTAAAAAATATTTTCGAAAGAGACTACATGAATTTGGACATATTAGTAGTTCAGTACATACCATGTTAACCGACAGCATCATTCTGAACAAGAAAACATGTTAGATGAACATATCAGTCCAGTTCGAAAGGGAGGACCATTTTCATTCTCATAACCGCGTTGAACGGAGGTTATTTAACGATAGGTTACGGTTGTGATCATTGCAGAGCATGACTTGGAAGTATCGGTTAGCCATTTACCACCCTTTCGGTGTGTGTAGTTTCTGATGTTCCTAGAGAATTGCAGATGATTTTTAAGGATGTTCAGGGATGTTCCCCGTTAGATGTCTTGACTCGATTCATTTGCCGACGGTCGAAGCAGAAATATCGATGAATTTTAATGAATTTGTGCATCCTTTTTGCTGTTTCAGTGCTTCTTACTTAAACTTCTGATGATTCTGTTGTGTAGATACGATTTATTGAGGCAATGACCTAAAGAAACAAAATACATATAAAGCAAGAAAATATACCAATCTTACAAACGTTTGACTGTCTGATAGATGACTGAGTACTACTTTACTTCTTTAATCCTACAAAAAAAATTAATCAGTCACACCATTTTAAGCTCAAAATGTTTAGTATGCACAACGGACCTTTCATGCTTTACACTGAGCCAATAGAAGTAGTCAAGCTTAAAATAAGGCAGATTAGTTAATCCAAGTCCAACTTCTGGTCACCAAGACGCCATGTAGTTGAACTTTGTCTTCTGTGCTTCCTATCAGTTTCAGCAACGATTGAAAGAAGCCTCGAGACGCCTTGAGTCCACATATTATATTCTCTCTCGCTTCTGCACTCGAACTCTATGATTCCTCTTGTTTCGGTCTTCAATCCGAAATACCGGCATTGCTCTCCGCCGTCAAATAGGTGTCTCCCTGGCCATGCCGGCATGTCCTTGCACACCTCAAGAACCACGTCTGAAACCACAAAATCATTATATATTTCAAAGGCAATCTAGAATTTCTTATGCATTAGCATTGACATTGTCTTGCCATTATTGCAACTTACTCTTTTTCTTTTTGGTGAATGTCCCAGCAACATGCTTGCTTTTCATCTTCAAAATCACCTTCAAAAGTTCAAAGGTTATTATGATGTACTGTTTGGGACAAAATTCAGTCTGATATAAATGGCGATGCGCTGGACTAAAGCAATAGCTACCTGGCCTGTCTTGTTCATATAAACAGATACAAGTTTCCAGTGAAGATCACCTGCAAAAATGCGTAATTAAGATTCATATACTGTAGAAAAGAATGTAATTATGTGAAAAGTCGAACACATTCAATACCTTTTCGAGTTCTTTTGAGAAGTTCAGTACCTTTGGCATGGAGATCTTGACTACAGGCAGTAAGGAAATCCTCTGGGGCAAGTTCTTCGCTGTTGTTGCGATTCGAATGCCCGTTGCCTTTCGCGCAGAGTCCGATACCGGCCGTTTTCTCTGACGGAATGACTGATGCAATGTTCCGTACTTCCTTCAAAGCTCTTGCCTTCAAGGCAGCTGCCCCACGTAAAGCTTCGAATAAACATATAATAAAAAGAGTCCATCAGCTTTCTTTTCAATGGATTATATGTTCATGTAGGCATTTTTTTACCTGTAGCGGCAGCAGCAGTAAGAGTTAAGATATCATCATGTGAGCGAACGTTAACAGCAGAGCTCACAACTGAAGCAAGATGGTCGCGTTCGGCTCCCATGGCTTCGGCTGCTTCCACGCATTGCGCAGCGACTAATGTGGCGGCCGATGCCACGGCAAGGTCAGTCTTGGTCGACTGTTCATTTTTGCCAGAGGTGGAGGAAGAATTGCCCGCGGTGGCAGCTGCAATGGCTGCTATGGCGGATGCAACCGCCGCGACCGAGATAGCAGCGTGGAGCTGTGCATTGTGAGCTCTGGTCTCTTCTTTCTTCTTCTCTTTCCTGTCTTTTAACCATCTCCCCACTGTCTTGGCCCCGCTGGGTGTGTTGACTCCATTGCCACCACTCGCTCGGCCACCATTGAATAATGGTTGTATGGAATTGTGGGTTCGGAAATACTGCAAAAATTGCAACCCGGAGTTGAAAATTGGGCTGAAATCAAAACCCTTATTTAGGGCTAAAGCTTTAGAGCCCAACAGCTAGCAAATTTGATGAAATAGAAGCAGGAAAGTTCTTTTTTGAGTAGGCAGCTTTTGCTGATGAGACACAAAGACGGGAAAGAAACATAGCCTTAGAAGATCGGAAAATAAAAAGGTTTTATTGGAAGAAGACAAAAGTTCCCGCTTTCTGTATGTTCGGTTTCTTTGGACACCACTAAAGCAACCCAAAGATTACTGGCATTAGCTTAGAGAGATAATTGATGGTGTGTTTAGCAGAAGAAAGAAAAACAAAAACACAGAAAAAAGCTGAGACATTGGTCTCCTGTCTTGTCTGTCTTCAATGCAACACCATTCCACCGATAATATCACTTAAAAAACGATTATATTATTTTAATGTATAAAACTATTAAAATAGAATGTAAACAAGGACCTTAACGACGTCGTCGAACTCCTCAGATGGCGAAACTGGAGGGCTGTTGTCATTAATCAAAGGTCCGCTGCTATGAGAAAGCCTCCCCGACGTTAATGGTGAAACATCCTGCAAGCACAAAAACCAGTAAAAAAATATTAAAGAAAAGCAAAGAATCACTTGTTTTAACGTGAAAATTTTAAGGAAACTTACGGATTGTGACATAATGCGTTCGAGAACGAGCTGTGAAGTGGTGGAGGAAGTGAAGGAGAACTGATTCGTAATATCGGCGGCGGACTTATCGAGCTCTTCTGTCTCGCCGTTTATGTCTTCCGGTATAGAGTTGGTGGTGCAAGAGGAGCTGCTGGCGGACTTGGGAGCGGTGATGGAACCATTGAGCGGATGGTGATGATTATGAGCTGGGGCGAGGGCCTTGGAGACTTCGAGAGCCGAAGCGCTCCATGACCTCGAGAGGAACTCCATTGGGCCTCTGGGGCTCTCCGGTAGCTGAGCTCCGGCGAGGTAAAGGTGGGGAATGTGCTCCGGACGACGACAAGCCCTTGGACTTGCGTCTTCCATGAAGTTGAAGCGAGCTTTGGTTTTGGAATTAAAAGGTTTTAAAGAAGTGAAAAAACAGAGAACCGATGAGTGGTGTGAGGGACGGTTTTTTATATACGGAATGGGAACGTTTTCGGCATGGTTTTAAGTGTCCTTTTTCACATCAAATTTATCAAATATAAACATTTTATAAACTTCACTAATTAACATAATTATAGGTTAAATAGACTTACTGTATCTGTTTGTAAAATTCTCGGTATCAAATCTATTAATCAATTAATTTAAATTAGATACTTTATAGACATAATAAAAGGATAACCCTCCTACTCAATTTTCTCTATCCATAAACACCGAGATTCAACTTTAATTTTGTTTGAAATTTGAAGGACTGCTTTATATATTTTTTAAAATAAATGACTAAAATAATTATTTAAACATATATTAACTCTTTCGTCATATTCTATCATTTGATGTCTACTTTCATGGGATAGTATAAGAAAAAACAACATAATTTAAGGTTAAGGAAAAAACACGACCGAAAATGTTAAACGAATCGAACATTCAACAAATTGTTTATTTATTGAATGAATGAACATGAATAAGATTATATGTTCATTTAATTAAATGAACGAACACGAACAAAAAACTCATTCATTCATTTACGTTCGTGAATGTTCGTTTATGTTTAACTCAATCCTCAAACATGTTTAAAAAATGTATACCTAATAAATTTTAACCTTTACCTCATTAATATTTTAAAATCCAATTAATTTAAAGCCCAAATAAAAAAATATCAAAAATTAATTAAAGAAAATATAAACTCCAAAATTATTTAGAAAGAAAAAGTTCTTCTAAAGTATAAACCTAACTAATTTTTATTTGTTTGTGTTCGTTTATCACTTTAACAAATGAACATGAAAGAATATAAACAAATTATACTCTTTAACGCATGAACACAAACAAAAAGAATTCGTTCGTTTAATCTTTCGTGTCCAATTGTTTACTCAATTGAAATTAAATGAACAAATATAAATGTACTCTCATTCGTGTTTCTCCGGTTTATTTACAGGCCTACTTATCACCTTTTGTGCTAAAAACAATTTATATGTCGATGATGATTGTTGGTATGCCATCATCCACATCTATAACACAATCAAAAAGAGGATAAATGCATTAACGTAGATGTTGAGTCTTCAGAAGTGGATGCGTGGTCGTGTTTATTTCTCTCATCTTTTTCAGCAAATATGGAATTCATATATGGCAATTTTAAATTTTCAAAGAATTGTCCCCATCCGCTCCCCTTGATCCATTCCTAATTATATCGTTAAACATCGTTATCTCTATTGCTAAAAACTGAGCTAACATAAAATTCATAACATCGACCCTACAAGAAGTTGCACAAAACCTTTACAACCACATCATTCTCCTTGTTGTTAAACAATGAATGAGAAGATTTATGAAGGTTATCATGTTCACCATTAATTGTTCGCCAATTCACCTTACACCAAAAGAATAGTAAATAAACTCGGGACAGCTGAGTTATCGCATAAATGGCACCGACAAGAGGCTGCGTGAAGCATAGGGCAGCCACGTTAAAAGGAAATATGTATACCCCCACAATCCCACATCGAGCTCGAGAGGTAGGAGGCCAGGGTTTTCAAACCAGCCTGGCCTATTTAATGTAGTTTAACTAAACCCGTATAAAAAAAAAAAAAGAAAAAAAGATAAACTATACCGAATACCATTCAACTTTTATCTTTTGGTGATGTATCTTTTATATCATCAAATTTTCACGGTTGTTCAATGAGATTAATTTTATGATATATCATTTGCCTTTACGAAATAATGTTTTTCATCGTTAGAATCTTTTAACAGAGACCCAAAATTCTTCAAATATAAGAAAGTCCCTAAACTCCAAAAAGTAATATTTTTTAGTTTAATTTCATTAATTTTGTGTGAGTTTCGTAAAAAATCGTGTAACACCCTTAGTCCAGTTAGACCCAAAGATCTATAGATTACAATGTTACACGGGGCTATTGAAATAGTGATCCATAAATTTTCTTTTAAAACTACTTGTAAATATATGAAATTTAGACATCATGATGTAATATAAAAACATAGTAATAAACTAGGTTTACAAATAATGAGGAGCTCCCAAAATTCATCCGCAAAATAATACAAAATATTGAGTTTCAAAAGAGTTAAGACTGAATACATAACAAGGTCCGTAACAGTACATGCCCTCTAAAGATAACTCAAGATGTACTCTGAAAGGTCTTTGGAAATTTGAATCTATTGCACCGGAATATCTAATGATGATAGTTCCCCACAATTTGTCCCTAAGAACCTGCGAACGAAAACACATTCCGAACGCTGAGCTTACGAGCTTAGTGTCTCGCTAAAAACTGTACTATACTATATGCATTCATTGAATGAAATAACAAGTGGCACATGTCTGAGTATACAACTACTTGACTGCTAATATGTGGCTAGCATCATGGTGCGACTGAGGGATTTTGCATCTCGGAGTTCACGCACCCCTCTAGTATTACCGAAGCACCATCGGGTACTCTTGGGTGAGATCCAGAATATTGCATCGGAACTTACACCCACCGACTTACTCCGTCGAGCCTTGGGGCATCTGGCTCCCAGTCGGCTACTGTAGTGCCGTGGCACTGACTTGGACCACTGACTGTCATATTTCTGCTAAAAGGAACTCGGGTGTCTTAATAGTTTCTCGAGCGTCAAACAATGCTAGTTTTATGTAAAACTAGCTATTTTTGTTTCTACTGTTATGATATTAATTATTGTTCTCGCTTGAAGTCTTATTTGAGGATATATTGAAGTGTTGGGTACCTCGAGTCTAATTCTCTTAAAAACTGACATTTTTGTCCAAAACATACTGAAAGTATCGATACTTTTAAACATTATGAACCGCCTAGTTTCGATACTTTTTGGGAGTTTCGAAACTATGACCCAAAGTGTCGATATTTTTCAAAAGTATCGACACTCTTGCCAAAAACTAACGAGTTCCCGAGAAGAAGAAAAAGTTTCGATACTATCCATCTAGTATCGAAACTCAACCTGCAAATAGCATAAAATAGGTGCAAAAATTCCTATTCTACTATCCCAAAGACCTTAGTGAGGTCCGTAAACATTATTAATGTTTTATGAAGATGCAAAAGGAACATAAATAGGGCTTTAAACATGTTTATAACTCTAAAACATGAAATCCACCATGTGAATGCTTCAAGCTTATGCAACATGCTACATTTCATCTAAATGACTTACATATGGTATAGTTGAGCCAAGAGTGAGTTACCTTTAATGATATACTACTGGAAACGTCAAAGGCTCAGCCCAAAGTAAGTTTTTCCTTCCACTTATCTTTGGAGCCTTCTCCAAACTCTTGCACTAAACAAAACCAAATGCAAGGGTTACTAATTGTTGCTAGGGATTAAGGAGGGTTTTAAAACACTTCCTAAGACTAGAAATATCTGAAAAATGGGTTGGAACCATCTAGTTCCTAAAACCCTTTTAAACTCGTTTTTTGCAACTATGGTGAAATGAGTGTCTTGAGAGCTTGATACAAAGCTTGGGATACAAAGATCATGATTCTTACCTTTAGGTTGTTGAACTAGGGTTGCAAGACTACCAAGTTTCTACCTTTACTTGATTCTTGGAGAGGAAGAAAGGGCTATGAAGATGAAGATTTGAAGAGGAAAAAGAGACAAAGGAGAGTTGAGAGAAAGAGGGTGTATCGGATGTGATATCACCAAGCAATTAAAGATTTCAACCTTATTTTTTAACAAGGGTAAAATTGATTCTTTGGTCCCTCCAATTCTAACTGTAGATTGAAAACACTTTTTTTATTCAATATTGGACTTACCTCAAGCCCAAATCCTCTATAATTTGGGTCAAGACTTCCTACAAGCTAAGGAATTAAACCAAGGCCCATCTCGAGTTAGTTCAAAACTTCTAACCCGAGATTCAGGGCGTTACAAATCGAACCTAGAAGAAGAAAGAAGAGTGAAATAAGAATGTTTTGACACTGATCTTATCGCGAAAAACGATCCGTAATGTACATGATTGGCTATCAACGACAATAATAAAGTATAATTATTTTAAAGTTTAGTGACAAAATCAACCATCACTAAAGATTAGTACTTAAAATGATATCATTTTGAGAATCAATAATTGTTGTCAAAACAACGTTGATATGACCACATCACCCTAGTGGCATAAGGATATGTTCATATCATTGTATCATTAAAATTTAACAATCTAATTAAACTCAAATTCAAAATTAAAAAAAATGATATTAGTATTACACCACGTAAAATTCACTCAAAAAATGAGCAAAATTGATTGCATGAGGCGTTAGGAAAAAATAATTGGCTTGCATAGAATCTTACAGGAATTGTTTATTGAAATGGTGTGATCGTTACAATGTCGGGGAAGACGTATGAATATAATGTGTCTTTCTCATTCGTCTTATTTTTCACGCAATTGGAATGTCCAAATTACTATAGGAACAAAACAGAAGACGCACTGTAGTAATCGCATCTTCCTGAAGATTTATGTGTTCTCGACGTCTTCCAACAAGTATTGTAACATTTACATTAGATAAAAAAATAAATCCAATAAAACTCTATATGAATCAATATTTTTTTCACTGCCCTACGCGAACAATTTTACCAAAAAAACAATGAAGTCAAAACACAGCCCAATGCCCCTGTCTACGGGGCTACGACAATGTTGAAATGGATGGCAAAGGGCAGGGGCAAGTGATTGTGTTCCCTTTGGCTGCCTGTGGTGCTGTTAGTGTCCGAGGCCGACACACAGTGGCTTGGGGTTCAGATGTTCGGGAAAAACGACAAAGTTTCAGGCCTTATGAACCCATTTTTCTTATAAAAAATAGTATTATTTTTAGGGTTTCGGGGGTACAGAACAGAGACTGGGGGGGGGGGGGGGAGAGTGGTGTTGCTAAAATACGCGTGCCTGGATACGTCATCGTCTCTTTGAAATTGGCGTACAAAGGCACACTCTTTTTGGTGCTACGTGAGAGTTGAGAGCAGTGGGTGACTAAAGTGATACACCCTCCTT